GGCTGGACATCATCGCTGTCGCAGCCAGCCTCCGGACTTGCTGCATCGCCGCCGCTGCCCTCTGCGTGGCCGGCCTCCAGACCTCCTTCGCTTGCCTCGCTGCCGTTGCTTTTTGCACGGTCGGCTTCCTGAACTGCCCAGGTTTGTACTTTTGTGCTGTCAACCTCCAGGCTGGCCCCTGAACTTTTTCGGAACTGTTTTCCTGGCCGCCTGCACCTTTTTGTCAACCTTTTCTTGTTTGTTTGTTTGTTTTCTGGGCTCCAGTATTTGCTGTTTTTGATTTCTAGCTCCTTATGTTTAATTTGTTTCGTTTTTGTTTTCCTTTCCGTGAGTCTGCATTTTGGGTCCACCATTTCTGCCTTCACACAGCCGTCACATGACACTCGGCAGATGGAAATGGGGTAAACTAAAACAGTAAAGTTATCCTCAAATAAATATTTCTGCTAATATTAGTAGTTCTCATCATGCTGATTAAATGACAAAAAGACTTGAGGCCCTGGCACACTTTCTTGTAAGTTAAATGTGTGTTTGTAAGCTAATCAGTTGTTAACATTTTTAGCTAGCTAGCTAAGAATGATCAGGGAAAGCCATGTTTGGCAGCTATACCGTGCACATGAATGGATTTATCTTGACTAAAGAAATCACTCTGAGGTTGTATGTTCATTAAAGTCAGTGATGTAGTTTGGACATTAGAAGTGAGAATTAGAGCCAATAGCAGATGGAAATGCACTGGTATTTATATATAGTCCTTTTTGACTTTTTACACCACTTTATTCTGAATGCAGGGTCAACTTAGAGTACAGTATCTTGGCCAGGTCATTGTGGATGATTGCGGTCCTGAACACTTCAGGGAGAGCAATGTTGACATCCATCACACCTCCAGCAGGACTGGAGGTCATTGTAGATGGATAGCAAACTGAAAGTTCTTTCCTCCAGTGGCGCTGAGGGTAAAGAGCTGATGTAAAACCTGTGATTCAGTGGGTCAGACTGTCAATGTCCTCTCCATGTGGACTACAGTCTGTGGTTTCAAAGGGGTTCTTTAGCCTCTGTTTGGAGGGGGCGGCCCAAGATAAGATTCATGCTGAGTTTCTCAAGTCTTTGGATGTTGTGGGGGTACAGGGTGTGCCAAGGTACTGGAGGAGAGTGTTAGCATTCTAAAAACATTTGTTGGTGGTAGATACTATGAGGAAAGGGTTCACTGATTTGATTATCAGGTTGTTCATTTTTGTCTTTTGAACTTTGATGTTGTGTTTTGCACCTCAAGGTTACACAGTGTACTTCATTTAGTGGCATTAATATTAAGCTTTTCTAGTCAGACCAGGAGCAATTTGGAGTTCACTACTGTGCTCAAGAACACACTAAATGCAGCTGTTGAATCCAATCCTCTTTCTCAGTTCTTATTTTTCAGCTTTGCCATTTCTTTCCTCAAATCCTCTCCTTGCACCAGAGATCTCAGTGGAGGTTGAGACATGAGGTGAGACAAGTTGAGGCTACTTTAAATTAAATAAAATGTAATTAAATTCACAGCATAGTAAACTCACAAGGAGCAAATCATTTTTCTTTGAACTTGTACTTGTTGATATCAAAAATAAGCTCAGGTGCTTCTTGTGTATTCTGAGCAGGCTGGTGTTGGTTTCATTGTGTTATTAGCAGCAACTGTGACCTGTTTTGTTTAACTGCATGTAAGTAATCACATCTGTGCTGTACTTGAATCTAATCTGGCCAACTGTGGTTAGTTTTATGCATCATTTTTTTTTATTTTTTTTTTTATATTGATTATTTTAAATTGTTTGTATTTTACTGTTCTTTTTGGGGTTTTTTTTTTTTTTTTTACTATTTTATTGTTGTATTACAAATATATATAAGTATATTAGTAATATAAATTACTAATCTCACTAAACCTCACCTTTTGTAAGGTGAAAGTAAAATGTGTACAAGCTGTGCAAAAAAAAAAAAGACGTTCACACTTTAACAAGTCAGACTTAAGTTCCCCACGAAGAAATCAGAGACAAATGAAACACTATATTAAAACATAACAGAGAGGTCCAGTGAATTAAGACATTCAGTGTAAGGCCTGATTCTAATGGAATTTATTCTCTTCATTCTCCAGTGCTGGTGCAAAAATTAAGAATTTGGCAAAGTAAACCATTGAACATGAGGGGGTTCACTAACCACTAACCCTTCCTACTTTGAATTCATTTTTGTATGATTTGGTGTTTATGCAGTATCTCAGAATAAAAATAAAAAAAATAACTGTAAATTCAGACATGTCAGATTATGCTGAAAAGAATTTTACCAAACAAGGGAAGGTAAATAGTTTTTAATGGTAAAATGAAAAGTAGTCAAAAATGGCCAGTTGTACCCTGGGCTCCATTACCTTTTCATTGGTGAAAAATGTGCTGATGACAGTGCAGATTTATGACACTTTGTGTAAATTTAAGTATGTAACCATCTGATTTTTTTTTTTTTTCTAATGAAAAATAGTGTGAAGCTGAAATTAAACTTGTATTTCTAACTGACTGACCTCGTGTTGTGTAGCTGTCTGTAATATACTTATTGGGCTATACATTTTTAGGCAAGGCAAGTTTATTTATATAGCACAATTCAACAACAAGGTAATTCAAAGTGCTTTACAGAGACATTAAAAAACAAAAACAATTAAAAAGCATGATTTAAAATTGATTAAAACAGTAAATTAACAGTAGACAAAATCAGAACAGTAGATAAAATCAGTAGTTAAAATGTAAGTTTTGAAATTTAAGCTTACAAGTGTGGATTTGGTGTTTTATTCAAATGCAGCTGGGAATAGGTGAGTCTTCAACCGGGATTTAAATAAACTGAGTGTTTCAGCTGATCTGAGGCTTTCTGGGAGTTTGTTCCAGATATATGGAGCATAAAAGCTGAATGCAGCTTCTCCGTGTCTGGTTCTGACCCTGGGAACTGATAAAAAACCAGATCCAGATGACCTGAGGGATCTGGAAAGTTCATACTGGGTCAGGAGGTCGCTGATGTATTTTGGTCCTCATTCAGAGCTTTATAGACCAGCATCAGAACTTTAAAGTCTATCCTCTGACGGACAGGCAGCCAGTGTAAAGACCTCAGGTGGTCCACTTGTTTGGTCTTAGTGAGGACTTGAGCAGCAGAGTTCTGAATGAGCTGTAGTTGTCTGACTGATTTTTTTTTTTTTTGGTTAGACCTGTAAAGATGCTGTTACAGTAATCAAGCCTACTAGAGATGAATGCATGGACTAGTTTTTCCAGGTCCTGTTGAGACATCAGATCTTTTATCCTTGATATATTCTTGAGGTGATAGTAAGCTGATTTTGTTATTGTCTTAATGTGTTTTTCTAAGTTTAGGTCTGCATCCATCACTACACCCAAATTTCTCACCTGGTTTGTGGTTTTTAGGTGTATAGATTGAAGTTCTCTGGTGACCTGTAATCGTTTTTCTTTGGCACCAAAGACTATTACTTCAGGGTTTTTTTTATGTAACATAAACGTTTAATTATGTGGTCTAAAGAAAATGAGAAAGTTACATAGTGTTTATTGCTGCATTTGATGTATTTCAACCATATTAAATACATATTACAAAATGTAATGCCTGCTTATGTGTAAAACAATGGCCTTTATCTTACCGTGCCATTACACAAGTAAATAACATAGCTCTTTCCTGCTTTTTGCGCCCCCTTCTCTTATGGGTTTTGCTCACGAGAGCCTTTTCTGTGGCCCGGGATTACTTTTGCCGGCTCAGGCAGTTTCTCCGTCGCGTTGACTAAATCCTCAACACAGCACAGCTCAAAATACCGCCTCCTGCACAGTCTCCTATTTATAGCATGGCTATGTAAATCTAAGCGTGCCGATCCTTCTTTAGGATTGGGCCATTGCTCATCCGAGGACCTGCATTGCTAAAGGATGTGGTGTGCCATTGGTTCGTGGAGTTCAGTTCCTTTCGTCCAATCGGAGAACGCTTTCTGGTTTATAGCGCTATATTCACGAATGCATTACGTAAAGCTCTAAGGGCGTCATTGTACGGTTGTTATACTGTTTCCACGTCGTCAATAGCCACATTATCAAGGATGTCTGGCAGAGGAAAGACCGGAGGCAAAGCCCGAGCAAAGGCCAAGTCCCGCTCCTCTCGAGCCGGACTCCAGTTCCCGGTGGGTCGAGTCCACAGGCTGCTGCGCAAAGGAAACTACGCGGAGCGGGTCGGCGCCGGGGCTCCAGTGTACCTTGCGGCCGTGCTGGAGTATCTGACTGCTGAGATCCTGGAGCTCGCAGGGAATGCGGCCAGGGACAACAAGAAGACCAGAATCATTCCCCGGCACCTCCAGCTGGCAGTACGAAACGACGAGGAGCTCAACAAGCTGCTGGGGGGAGTGACCATCGCCCAAGGAGGAGTGCTGCCCAACATTCAGGCTGTCCTCCTTCCCAAGAAGACGGAGAAACCGACCAAGAGCAAGTAAAAAACAGACAAAACAAACTGCCTAGAGGTCTGGATTCAGCCGGGACAAAAGGTTCCCCGTGGGGCCTGCCACTTTTTTTTTTTAAATATTTTTTTTTTTTATAAACAACCTTTCAAACGGGGATGGTGTTGCTGTTTCTGCGTTATAACTTACAGTATCGGGACATTTTTATTGACTGTTGCGTTTTTTGGCTCTGGAAAATGGAGGCACTCTGCGGGCTGGGTGGTGATGACGGCCGTAGGGGGAAAAAAATCCATTCTTAAAGTGGACCAAGTATGGGCCGGAACATGGTTTAGTTTCGCAATGCTGCTACGTGCAAATGTGTTTTATTGTTTATGTCATGGTGTTTCAATAAAGAAATCTGTTAAGTCTTTATTTTTGTTGTTTTGCTGTTCGTCTCTTCGATGGAACAAACAAACGACAGCTGAGCAGAAATGGCCTCTCTGGCTGTGGTGTTGTGTTCATGGGTACTAAGTATTTTTTTTTTCTCTCTCTTCATTTAGATTCTTCCTTTCACAAAAGAGATTGGCCTTCAGTGGAACAATGCGAGGTGTTTACAAGATTTCACATTGACTCATATGTCAAAGTAGGTTGCTATGAATTTGAGTTCACATTACTGTAATAAACTAAAAATTTTGTTCTTTTATGATTATGAACATTTTCTCCCGATTTAAACGGAAGATGTAAATTTCTTGACCCTCGCGTGTATGCTGTTGTTCATTAACAAATACACATAGTACACTTGCACTTTGTGCCAGTATTAGTTATGCAAGGGCCATTTGAATTGAAAGTGAATGCATTTTCTCAATAATACGTACAATAATTTCAATGTTTGATTTTAAAATAACCAAAAATGAGAATCAGAAGGATCCTGTAGTTAGCCATATGCTGTTTACAAACGCTTGGCACGGAGTTTTTAGCTGTTTCATTGCAGCAGGGTATATGTTAACTGTTATTTGACTCAATATTATTGTCATTAGTATTCATGGAAAACATTTAATGTTATTACCAACATATAAGCTTACAAATATAATGAATGTTTATTACACAACACACAAATTAAGAAATGAAACCTGCGGAAACACCTGCCTTTAATCTTCAGGGTCCAAACATTTCATAAACTGCACATATAGATGTTTTCTTTGTGGTGAGTCATATATTACACATTCAATACAACAGCCAACCAACATAGTGTATTGGAAAATGGTTACAGTTACATGCTGACAACAACACTACTGTGACTGATATTGACATACCAGCAATATTTGATGGTTTCCTAAATATGCCATAAGCCACAGATATGCATAATTCAAGAAAATAAGAGACCACCAGAATTTTCTGTCTGCATATTCTTTTAGCAGATAACCATAAATATTAAAATGAATTGAAGTGAAAACCACGAACAAACACAATATTAATTTGAGCTTTTAATTAGTTCCATATCCATTCATATCTGCTTGGCTTTCTTCCAGTCAGCTGATGACCTCATTGCCCTTGTCTAAGATCTTCTGCTTGTCAGCTGAAGCGCAACAAAGATTGTGTCTCGCGACACAGGATGTGATGTGAAAATCGCTACGTGACACAAGAGCATAAAACCAGCCTTGGAGTGGGTACGGCAGTGTACTCTGGGCATTGGTCTGAAGTGTAAGACTTTCTATGTGGTTTTGACAAATCAGAGCCACAAACCTGACCTGTAGTCTGTTTCCCACCTGATAAAGATCCTGGAGAGAATTATCCTCAGACACCTCCAACCTCTGGTGAATTTCATTTACTGTCCTGGTATTTGTGTGGGTCATACTTTGTGGAAAAAACAACAAAAAATGGCATTGCACAAAGTGTGGAACTGGAACAAAAAAACTGCCCTGGGATTTCTGGCCACCAGGGGTGATTTATATATATTCTTAAACCCCTCAGCCAGCCTCAGTTCTTAATGTAATAATCCTAATGACAGGAAGATTCATGTCACCTTTCACTTTGTTTTAGTTTTTGAATGAGCAGCCTCAATAATTACAAACCAAGCCACTTTTAAAATCTTTTCCTTAATTTAGTTGTAAAGGTACATATATTAAACACACACAGTATGGTAAATCAGGGACTATGCAGTTCAACCCCAGTTCAGCCTTACTAAGACACTTACAAAAACTGAGGAACATATACATTACTCTTCAAAGTGTCTTAAAATTACAAACAAAAATATTTTTATTAACAGTTTAGGAATACAGGAATTGTTTCCATCTCCCATTCCAAATTTTATTCTTGGTTCCACCCTGATTTCTTTTGCATTATTCAGAGTACAGAGAAGATATAGCAGACCCAAACCCCTTACCCCCATGTTCTAACAGGAAAAATGGTGCAAACATGTACACCACACTGTTATGTCCCAGTAAACAAAAAACTAAACACTTCCACTAGCAGCTTATATGAAGACTCTGAAAGCACTCAGTGTGACTGGCATCATAAAACAACATTGAAGCACTTTTCAAAAGCTTTATTAGCATCAGTAGAAAACGTCTTTGAAATCCAGCCATATCACGACAGCAGGAGGCAGATGCGTGAACTCACTGTTGAACTGTTAAATCATCACCATTTGGGAGCTCAGTATTTATCTTGTTTTGTCTGCACACACGGGGGCAGTCCACTATCAAAACTAAGGGCCACATAAAGGACACTACCATGTGAATATCTGTAAGTGCTGCTGGTGGATAACATGTTAATGTTGGAACATTTACCAATAAATAAAATGTCCATTGAGTAGCAGAATTTTAGGAAAAATGTTTAAAAAAAAAAAAAGAAAAAAAAAGAAAGAAATAAGCCAGTTGTCCCTGAAGGGCAGGATCCCACCCTCTGCACATTACACTGGATGTTTCTGATAACATTGGCTTCAGAATTTTAGCTGAAAAACATAGGGGCTTCCTCTACAATATGTGTAGTTAAAGTTTCAATAAATTAACACGTTTTTCATTCTTATAGTTTTACATATGCTTAATATACTAGATGACACTTTTGACAGCAATTTAAAGGGCCAAAGGAATTATGGGTTGGTGTAAAAACAAGAACACTGTATCCGCGGTGACTGTAACCAAAACTGTTAAGTGCTGCACTAACTTGGTTTGTATATCCACCAACTTAAAACATCAAATATTGTCATTAAATTTATTGTAAACTAGCCAAACAGCTCCCTCTGGATTAGCATTGATAAGATAATGGTGGTGGATATGAAAAGGCATTTTGTCAGGAAGAATGCAGTCTGGGGCTTGATTCATGTGAAACTACTTCTCATTTATAGAATCCATGAAGATGAAACACTCAAGTGGAGACAAGGAGCAGAAAAATGTCCAGTTCCTATTCACCGTGTGTCCAGAGGTTCAACAAATGAGTCAACGAGACAAAAAAAAAAAAAAAAAACAAAAAAAAAAAAAAAACAGTCTGAGAGAGAAGCTGAACATTTAGACACTGTCAATAAATATTTTTTCTTCTACAGTTCCAGCTGTTATAATTCATCCTCTATGTGGTTTTCAGGTTGGGTTCTCTCCAGTTTTTCTGGAAAAAAGGACAGAGATCGGAACCATAAATATGCAAAGCAGTAAAAGCTCCACTATGACTATGTTCTCTCTGCAAGCTGCAGATACAGTGGTGAGTGAGTGAAATTATATTTTTAGGTGTTGAAGTCTGCCGGAGGTGTCTCAAGCCAGTCGATAGATATAGTCTCACCAGCGGGTCCTACTCGGGAGACGCCCACCTCAGCTTGGTTCTTGGTCAAAGTTTGTATACATGTGGTCACAGGTGGATCATTAGTTAATCAACTACATTTGATTAGGAGGATCTGACTGCTACTTTGGCTTCCAGTTTCTATGGAAGCAGTAAGATTGTCAAACCATTAATTGGCTCCATTAACTAACACTAATTAACAGGTGTGGTGTACAAACCTGTAGTTGCGGATTCTTCTTTAGGTTGTGATTGGCTGTCGATAGTACTCTCAGTGGATGGGGTTTCATCAGATGGTATCTCTTCTGAACTTCCTGTATCTAAATTTAAGAAAAAAAAGATATATTGAAGTTCTTTTAATACACTTGTAATTCGTTTATCAGAATAATGGGGAAAGAATGTGTGTTTTTCTGTTTGACCCACCACTCTTGGTGTCTGTGCTTTCCTCTATAGGAGGGCTGACATTTTCTTCAGCTGTGCTGTTAGCCTTGCTGCTTTTATCTGTGCTTGTACTGTTTTTGGCTTTGGGTTTAGGCTTGGCAAACTTGGCCTTGTTAAACAAGTAGTTGACCTCTCGCTCAAGAAGAGTCCGTTTGGACTCGATGTCTTTGGACAACAAGACCGGTCGCTCTTTTGGAGAGCGTTTCTCCTGCTCTGCTGTTGTCTCGTTCTTCCACACCTAAAGTAAGCAGAGATGACTTCACACACGAAGCTCAGTTATAAACATTGCGACAAATTCAGCCCATGTGAACAGGCATGTAAAGTCTGGGCAAGAAACCCTGGATTTCTCTCAAGAGGAAAGGCTTTTCAGATACACAGGCTTTCAGGCAAGAAAAAGCTTGTCACCACCTACCATTGTTTCATTGATGACTTTTTCTAGCATGTTTAGCTCGACGTCAGTAAAGATCTGATCATCTTCTGGGATCAGCCTCGCACTCCTTTAAGAGAACAAAAACTCAGTCAACGACTGGCTCATGACTAACTTTACATTTCCTTCCTTCTAACCACTTACTTTAAGAAGAAACTGGAGCTATTGAGCAGGCTTTCCAGGCGGGCCAGGTGCTCCGGCCACTTGCGTCGTTCGTCAACCCTGAAAAACATGTCCTTGCACAGGCTCTTCAGCTGAAAGAGTTTTTCTCTCAGCTGTTTGGTGGTGGCAGCATAGCCATCCTCATCCATCCACTCAGACACCTCTTTCAGCTTGGCTGAGATCTGTTCCTGCTCCTCCTCGGTTACCACCTGCTGGTAATCCTCCTGGTACAGCTTGTCCTGGAAAAAGAGCATACTGAACCTTACATGGGGAAATTTAATTTCTTATTTTGTTGTATATTTGTTTTTAACTTTGAAATTTTCACTCTAGTCCTAGTTCCCGGTTGCTTCAGAGCAGGGGTGTCAAACGTACAGCCCGGGTGCCACATAGTTTCATATGTCAATTATTAATCGCTGGTATACAAGTCTTTAGGTCTGCTGAGAATCCATGCAGGTGGGGGTGGGACTTTATTTTGATGGACACACCATGTGCCCAGTCACACTCAAAGTCAGACTGGGATCATACCATTATGTGAAAGAAGGAGGGGCAGACATTCTGAAGACAGCAAGTATAGTAGTACCAGCCAGCTACACAGAGAGACGGGGAGCCAGATTTAAATGCAAGCGTGTTGGGAAAAAGT